ACGGCTCCCCTCCACCACGGCCGGCCGAGCCACATCTGCAGAACCCTTCTCCACCCAGGGCTCCAGGCAGGCCCTGCCAATCAAGAGTCACAGTGGCCCGCCCATATGTCTCATGACACCTAGCCTGCTAGGCCACAGAATACAGAGAAGGCCCCTCACAGCAGGAAGCCCAAATTCAACCATGGACCCACTACAGGACCACCCGAGGTCTTCCCCTTCATCTTTGGATTGGGATTTCTGAAGGCTGGATTGCAGGTCCACAGGCAAAGTAACATCAACAGTGCCTGTCCACACCCCCTAGGCCACCTGGCTAACCTCTCCTCCTCTTCAAACTTTAGCTCAAAGCCTGCCTCTTCCAAAAAGGCCACTCGGATACGTCCTATTTCCTGGCTCCAGTGGGCTAGGTCGGCACCTCTGCTCCAAGCTCTCTGAGGCCCTTGGCTCACCCTGCCTGTGGCCAGTGAGGGCAGGCTCTGGAGCCAGAAGCCCCAGCTCCAGATCCCGCTTCCTGGCTCCACCAATCCCAAGTTCTGTAACTGCCAACCAACTGCTGCCCTTTCTGAGCCTGGGTTCCTCTGTGAAGTGGGGTTAAACAACAGGACCTACACTTCAGAAGGCTGTTGGAAGGCTATAAAAATGCCGAGGCAAATACGGTGCTTGGCTCAGTGTGGTCCACAGAGGGCGCTGTTGCCCATCTTCCCAGCAGGACTCCTTAAAGGCAGGGAGGCACGAGCTCCTGGACACCTGGCACAGGGCTGGAGAAGAAGCCAGCTTCAAATACACAGTGGATGGATGAATGAATGAATGAATGAAGGCGCTGATTCCTTTACTTACTTCATCCTCAAGAAAACAAACCAAGGGATATTTTTAAAATCAGTGGCACCCAAATGCCAAATTCGAATGTCTTTAATGGAACATGGCAGTATATTTCTGCATTTTTAATAAGCACCCCAGGTGCTCTGATGCATACCTATCAATAGCTTTGAAAACCACTGCTTTAAATCAAGAAGTTGACTGAGAATGATATCATGAGAAACTGATCATTAAATATTAGGATTTGGCCTCCAGGATAAGGATGACAAAATACCCAACTGGCTCAAGCGAACTTAACGAAGCTCAGGAGAAAACAAGATCAACGCCAGGGAGAGAAAGTTTCCAAGACAAGGGAAAACGAGCTGAGTCTAAGAAAGAGCGACCCTGACACGTACCACAGACCAGACAAGCAAGGAAGACGAGGAGAGTTTGCTCCAGCAAGAGCAACACGCAAGCCTGGATGCTGAAGTGGAGCATGGATGGGCTGTTCTCGCACGGCGGTCGGGCCAACACCACCGAGAGGATGTGGGAGAAAGAGAAGGTGTCACTGCATCAAGTGTGAGTGGCTGAAAGACGAAAATTACTTATTCGATAGGGAAAGTTCCAGGAAGAACCTCTTGGCGGGCGAACAGCCAAGACATAGCAGCTGAAACTGGGAGGAGGAGGACAGGTGAGGGCCCAGCAACGAGGCCTCAGGGCAGGAGAGGCTGGGCCCCACGGGACCCGGGCACACTAGCAACAATGGCTTCACGTGCATCCACAGACCTCACCACCCCAGTTCCCACTCAAGGGGCTGCCCAGGCGGAAGAGCCCACCTGACCGTCTCTGGGTGGGCAGTGGGAGGCAAGAGCATGAGCACTGTGAGGCTCCTCCCAGGGCCTGGCAGCAGGTCAGCCCCACTGAGCCTGGCATCTGGAAGAGCCCAGGGCCCCACCGCTAACCCTTGGTGCTTGGGCTCCCAAGCATCAATCTTCGTGGCCTGTCTGCAAGTCCTGGCTATCCTGGCTCACAACCCAGAGGAAACAAGAGCTGGGACCCAGTCAGAGGTGGGCTCGACAGGGTGCAAAGAAGCTGAGACAAATCAGGCGGACGGCTGGGGCCAGAACCGGGCCCAGTAGCTGAGATGAAGAATATACGTGCTGCAGAGGCCACCACTGGGGGACAGCGTGTGCCCCTCAATCCAGCCACAGCACCGAGTCATCCAGGAGCCGCACAAGCTACAGTGGAGCCGCCGGGGGCACAAAGCACGCGCGAGGCAGCCTGCCCCCTCCTCTCAGAACAGGTGCCAGGCTTGAGAGCCCACGCCTGCCCTCCCTTTAGCCTGGCCTCTCTCTCCTCACCCGATCCATCTTGAAATTCCGCCCCAGCACATTTTTCTGGTTGGCATCCACACCATCACAGCTGGTCAGGAACTCTGGGAGGAAGGCCGCGAAAAAGCCATCGAAGTCCACAGAGGCCATGTTGTAAATGGCGATGCCAATCTCCTCCTGCAAGAGGTCGTGGGACTTGTGAACGAGGACCTGGAGCAGCACGTTCACAAACTGGAAGAGCATGGTGGTCCGGAAGATCTTCTGCAGACAGAAAGAGCAGGGTGAGCGAAGGCCGGGTGGGCTCCCTGCCTACTTCCTGTCGTGCTCCGCAGCCACTGACCTGAGGAGGGTGGCCTCAGCCTGGGCCCACGACACCTCTGATGAAGAAACCTTCATCTGAGAGCTGGGGCACTTACCTTGTGGTACAGCTTCTGCTTGGTGTTGAGAGTCTCCAAGTAAAAGAGATTTTGTTTAAATAGGTGGATGTCAGGCTGGAGAAAGGACTGTCCAAAAGCCTAGGAAATAAGACCACCATTTTATAAGCAGCCTTTCAACACCCTCAGATCCAGCCTTTCTAGGGCACCTCCCTACGCCCAAAGAACTGACACTTGGCGGCGGTTCCCCATGCTGATGCAAGGTGGGGGCACCTACTGCCTCATTCTCCTGGCCTGTCTGGTCAGATCTTTGGAACGCTCCTGTGTAGTCTGAGCTCCCAAGTCCTCCCCACTGGGCCTCACTTATTTGGTCTCATCTTGCACCTTTTGTAATAAACCTCCACACCTTCACAGGATCTGTCTTTGAAGGAAGCAGCTAACACCTCTAGGCAAGTACCTCAGCCATCTTAGCAGATACCAGAGGCTGCCCTGCCCGCCTCAAGCCAACCACTCACCCATAAACCACCCTCTCCTTGGCATCCCAGGTCTTATAAACCACAAATCTTTGAACACTCCTTCACACCTGGCTGCCTCTGCCTTGGGGTTAAGCAACAGCAAATTTTTAAACTGCTTTGCAGTTTCTGGGCTGTGGAAGTTTCCAGTTCACCCCCCACCCCAAACACAAAGAGCCCTCCCACAGAAAGTGACTGAGGAGGAGTGCGGGAGGCCAATGAAATGCAAACCCAGTGGTGGGCAGGGCACTCCCCAGAATGAGCCAGTGATGGCCTCGTCATTCTGTCCCTGGGCTCCTAAACTATGAGAAGGGGGTCTTATAACCCCTGCTGTAGTGATAAAATCTCCATGATGCCCAACTGTTTTATTCAGTTTTTAAAGTCAGGTTTATTGAAGTGTAACACAGAGTGAAATTCACCCTTTTGAGATTCACCATTGTGTAATTCTGACCAACACACAGTCATCTAACCACCACAACGATCAGAACAGAACATTTCCTTCTCCCAAAAAGTTCCCTCATGCCCGCTTTGTGGTCAGTCCTCTCCCCTTACCCTTAGGCAACCACTAGCTCACTCTCTATTCCCCTAGATTTGCCTTTTCCAGAACATGTGTCATATGATGGAATGCAATCAGCAGTATATAGCCCTTTGGCGCCAGACTCTTGCACCTGGTGGAATGTATTGGGAGGTCACTGTGTTGTGCGAATGAGAACAGGTTCCTTTTTACTTGCTGAGGAGCAGGTGCCACAGTCTGTTTATCAAGCCACTGGCTGATGGATATTTGAATTGTTTCCAGCTTTTGGCAATTATGAAAAAAGCTGCTATAACATCTGTGTACAGGTTGGGGGAATACATGTTTTCATTTATCTTAGGTAAAATATTTAGAGGTAGGATTGCTAGATCACATAGTAATTACATGTTTAACTTTATAAGAAACTGCCAAACTGTGAAGCTGTTTTCCAAAGTGGCTTTTACCAGCCCTGAGTGGAGGACCAGCCATCAGAAGAGTCTTGAAAGCAAGGACAGAGTTGAAGAGGGAGGTAGGAGGGGAAGGAGAGAAGGCACTTGAATACTCCAAATCCGGGCCCGTGATGGGGTGTCAGAGATGGAAGCGCATGAAAATAACTGCAAGGACCAGGGGTGCGACATCTGCTCTTCCACACAGGGAGAGCGCGTGAGCGTGTGTGTGTGCGCGCGCACGCTGGGAGGAAGCTGAATGGAAGAACGGTAGAGTCCGCTGGCTTCCCCGTGACGAAAAGCTAGCACTGAAAAACCAAAAAATAAAAATAACTCTCTACTTCAGCCAAGGCTTAGAATAAAAAAGTTGTACGACTGAGTGCAGAACAAGGAGTGCTCCTGAAAGCGGTCCCTGAGCAGCCGGCCACCCTGGCACGGGGAGGCTGCCCGTCTCCCACAGTGGTGTGTGCTCAGCCCCCAGAGCTCACTCTCTAGGGTTTAACAGTCGCACTTGATCAGAAAGGGAGACAATCACAGGGCAGTGCGTCTCCCAACACGGTACAAGCCAGAATGATCTCTCAAAAATGCAGATCAACTAACACACTGCTGCAGGTAAGGAGGGCCCCCGGTGGTCCTGACGTGGGCAGCCTCCCACACGTGGGGCAACTCTGCTATAAGGCAGAGGGAACTGAGACGTATCCAGCATCCTGGGTGCCAGGAACGCTGTGTACACTCTCATTTAACCCCACAACAAACCCACAAAATAGGCACTATTATCCCTACTTCACAGATGGAGACTGAGGCTCCAACAAGTTAACTAACTTCATAGGTACTAAGAGGCAGAGTTGAGCTTCAGACCCAAGACCACGAGGCTTCAAAGTGCCACTGTGTGTCGCCTGCTGCAGTGGCCACGTTAGAGGCAGTGGGACCATATGCCACAGAAGCAAAGCAAGGGGCAGTCTGGACACCCAGGTGGTGTCCAGAATGATGCCTGTCTGTTCCTGGATCACAAGGCAGCCTCACCAGCTCTGCCACATTACCTGCATGATGGCACTGAACTGAGGCTCATTCTCCATCTGCTCCTCAGCAATCCCCCTCTGGACACTGGCCAGGACGGTGGACTTGAAGAAGTACCTCCAGTTGTGATGGAGCGTCCGGAAAAGGAGCTCAAACAGCTCAGCCTTCACATCAGGGGAGGGGCGCTGTGGAGGCACACACACAGACCCTCAAACCTTCAGGGAGCCGCTCACAGCCTGGGCCCAGAGCAGCAAAGAGTCCTGAGAGATGCCTCCTAACAGCCAGCAGCGTGTTGGCTTTCCACCCTCTCTCTCGTCCTGTCAAGCCCCCTGTGGGCCAGCAGTTCAAACGAGGAGTTCTTCGGCAGAGACAGGGCCACAGTTGAGACACAGAATGCCTGGGTCGGTGCCAAGGGGCCCTTTTTCTGATGGAAGCACTCAGCTTTTTAAGCTAAGAAAACAAGGCTACTAAATGGAAAACAATTAGGAATATGGATTTCCTGCTGAGCGAGCAGCTGATCTGATCTGTCACATCTTTTTGGTGGTGCTGTTCCTTTGCCAGTATAAAAAAAAAGCTGTCCCAGCTAACCTGTTGGTCTTATGCAACCTCCGAGGATAAAGACAAATAAGAAGGCTTAAAAGAGGTTCTGCCCTCTATAGAAAAGGAGTTTAAAGAGCACTTAGAAACCACCGACAGCAGCATTAGACGTCCTCCAGGTGGAAGCAGCACCTCGGGGGAGGCACTGTGTGGCGCTAATTGCCCTCCCAGCCTGTCTCCTTTCTCACTGGCAAGAGGAGAGGGTGAGGGAGGCAGGCTCAGCAATAATTTTCACATTTATCCAAAAATCTCCAAGTCACTGAAGAGCATGACAGGTCACATTATTCCACAGGTCTCAGCAGAATTAAAAATTATAAGGCCCAGGTCTATTTAATTCATCTTTGATTAAAGTTAAATTAAGACCAGGGGCACCAACTTCCACGGCAGGAATCCTCAGATTAAACAGGTGTGTTTAATGATGCAAAGCAAATGGACTTACTTAAGCCTTAGTCTGGGCAGTTAGGAAGGTTAGCCCTTATTTACCTAACTATTACAGAAAACTTAAGTTAAATATATATTTATTCTGAATTTTGTCATACTGAGTGGCTGTTTTCTAAGAAGGACAAAGAGCTTTCTAATGATGAAAGCTTTGAATGGTTCTAAGAACTTGTTTTGTACCCTTGAGATCATGAAATTTCTTAATAGGAAAGTGTTATGAAGTGTTATTACTACAACATTTGTTATGTTTGCTGGACAAAACCATATATTCACCTAAAGTTCTAAATTGTTTGCCATGGGACACTGATCTTACTTACCAACCAACCTTGTGACAATTAACCTGTTATGCTTACACCAGATTAGCTCTAATTAACTCAACCAATATAAAAAAACCATATCAAGCTAATGGCATTCTTTCTCAGAAAAAAAATTATTTTATAAGAAAAATAAAACAACTAACAAATTAGCTTTAAAACACATTTTCCTCAATATTTCATTCCCTCCCCCATCTCAGGCAGGAGGCAGCACAGGGGACCACCCCAGCCCCTCATACCTCGGCGATGATGGGATACACCTGCTCCATGCACAGGGAGATGATGCTGGGGAGGAAGGGCTTGAACACCTGGCCAGGCTCCTGGACCACCACCTGCAGGATCTTCAGGAACTTCTCAACCACCCGGCAGCCAGTACTGCCTTCGTGGAGGATGCTCTCAGCCAACTGTTCTCTGCAGACAGAGAAAGCACACAGTAGCCAAGAAAATGTTTCTCTGGGGAGCAGTATGAAAACCAACACTTGTGGCAAGTGAAGGAAATGAGCAAAAAGTCCCACACTTTGTAGCCAGGTCGCACCACTTCTCATGTGGAGTCTGAAAACCTTGGACACAGCGGGTCTGTGGTTACCTGGTAAACATATTGAGGAAAGTCTGTATGATCTGCTCAGTGAAAGGCACGCCCATCTGTACTCTAAGGCCTCGAAACAGAGTGAGGAAGAAACTCAGCATCTCATCAGTCACATCTAAATAAAGGGACAAAGCAAATGATCAGAGGCACGTACACAGGGATAAACAGAAGCCCTTGGCTTGATGCACTTCCTTCTGCAATCTGCACTATCCTTTCTCTCTAAGGCTTCCTGCTGGAAGAAATTTCCCCAACACCATCACAGCCAATGACGGCAAGTGGGAAATTATTATGGATGTGCTGAGAAAACAGCTCTGGTACAGAGAACTCTGCCTGATGGCTCACGATAGGAAAAGAAGGTCATCTCAAAGCCGCCCTCACTGCCCAGCACCCAGCGCCATGCAGAATTCTCACTGCAGGTGGGTTATTCTGTACTCGCTGATGCAACTACTGAACTGGGTCAGCCCCTGAGGGCTTCAGCCACTTCTCTATGACTGATAATCTGCAGCTGGGTCCAGGGTCAAGCGGCTGAAAGTGGACAGTGAGGGTGTACTCAGATTGCATGGCCCTGGGCTATTAAATAGATTAACTGCAGAAAATACTGGTTACATTTAGTGTGGCTCCACTTCCAGATCTAAACAATCATCTCGTACAGTACGTTCTGGCTTGAACCGCACACACTCAGGGGCAATCGGTGAACATCTGCTGACTGAGAAGCCCTGGATATTTCTCTCACAAGACTGACAAGACCACTGTAAGTGGTCATGAGAGCCAGGCGAGTACATCCAGAGACCCAGAGAGAGCCTCTCTGAGTGAGTGACAGTGTGCGGAGGTGAAGCACCTCAGCAAAATCCACCTTGCCATGTAAGTAAATAAGTGGAACTATCAGAAAAGTTCTCTGTCCCGCTGCAATGCCCCTCTTACTCCCATCCATTCATGTTCCCAAGTGACTCAGCGACACACGACATCACCGCCCTCCGCCTTCACCATCTAGGCTGACCCCACCGACTGACTTGGCCTGCCCTGCAGAGCTAAGCAGTTACTCTGGTCCTTGTCAGCACCACCCAGCAGTGAGGCCTGCGGCCAGCTCCTACCTGACTGATGGATAAAAGCTGGAAAGAGGGCCAGGGAGACCTGAACGGATTCCTGCAGGGACTGGTAGCAGATCTGTCGGGACTTGGTGGATTCCCCAGAGATATTCTCCACGATATCTTCTAAGACACTAAGTGTCTGGTGGATAATCACTTTGGCTGCAAACCAAGATTAAGTTGCCTGTTATGACTTGTCTGAGGATAAAGCAGGGTAAGAGGGAACACAGGGAAGGGGAAGAAACCTGCAAAGTTATTCAGAGGACAAACACACAGAAGTCTCTCTTGACTGAGTTATCAATCTCTCTTTGTATCTCTCTTTCTACATCCTTTTCTTCCTTTTTTTGTTCCCTTTTTACTGTCAGGACTCCAGTTGCCTGCCAGCCAGCCTGCTCAGTTTTTTGCCTCTATTCTGCCTCTATCCACCTGAAACATGTCCACAGAGAAGATGAAATGTCCCTCAGGTTAGGTGTCTTGGACTTAATCAAGACTGTAAGATGGTGAATAGACCAGTGAGAATGGTAAGTGTCACAAGGTAATCACCACAGGCAAGAATGGACACATGCAGATCAAACACCCTCCTTGAACTCCAGACATGGCTCCAGCCCGGTAATCCACACAACCACCTGCCATGCACATCTACTGCTGCTGTGTAAGGAATCAACTGCCTGATCAATCCTTGGTCTATTGGGCCTGAGGGCCTGAAAAAAAATCTATATAATTATTGTTATTATGTTGCATTATATTATATTGTAATATATATTGTATTATATGTTACTGACAATAAATACTTCTAACAATCCCCTGATGTAAGAGCTCACTGATGACTCCATACAGCACACAGGGGAAACAGAGGCAGTGGCTAGCAAACAGGCAGGATCTCAGAGGACAGAGCAAGGGCCTGGGTCAGAGGGGCCTGGATGTGAATTGAATGTGGTCAACACAGCTACACATGGGGGTAGGATCCTCATCGGTACACCAGATTTGGCCAATAGCCCCCACCTTTGCAGGGTTGCTGTGAGGATTAGAGACAAGGTTCAGAATGATTCTCGCAAAGCACCTGACATCAGGAGATCCAGCAGAGGGAAGTTGTCACCATTCCCCAGCACCTGTAGGGCTTCTCTTCCCACCGGCTGCCTCAAGTAGCCCCACAGGGCTCAGCCTGAGCTTGACAGACTCGACCCTGGCGGAGCTCCAGAGGAGGAACTGGAGCTGGGCTGAGAGCCCAGCCTCCACCTGCTAGGGCTCTCCAGGTGGTGCTGACCCCCAGAGCCCACCAGCCTCTGTGAGGGCTGCAGCAGCTTCCAGGGAAGGGGACAGCAGAAAGAATCCAGGCTTTAGAGGTGTGTGGGACTGGGTTTGACTCCTGACTCTGCTTATTCTGAATCTCGGTTTCTTCATCTGAAAATGTGGAGAGATGACACCACCTCACTCATAGGACTGGGCATGAAAGAAGACAATGGCTCACAACAGGCCTGGTCCACTCAAGGCTAGTTACAGGGATGCTAGACACTGAGCTCCTGAAGAAGCCATTCACTCACAACACTACCAGCACACGGATGCTCACTGAGCCAGAAAACTGTACCTGGCAGACGCTTCCCCAAGAACACACAAGGCACAGGGAAGGCAAACAGAGTCAAGAGACCAAAATCTGACCTCTGATGTGAGCGTATTTAAACAAGAACCAAGATTTATTCACAAAAATGTGCAAGTGGAAAACTAAAAGCACAATTAAATACGCAATAATAGGAAAATGGATTAAATATGCAAAAATAGGAAATATGTAAATTGGTACTTCCACAGGATAGGATGTTATAAAACCATTAAAAACACTGCTTTCAAGAAGAAAGGCTAATTAATAATAATAATAAAAAAGGTGGGGGGGGGGCTGCCCTGGTGGTGCAGTAGATAAGAATCCACCGGCCAATGCAGGGGACAGGGGTTCGATCCCCGGTCCAGGAACATCCCACATGCCACGGAGCAACTAAGCCCGTGCTCCACAACTACTGAGCCTGCGCACTACAGCCCGCGAGCCACAACCACTGAGCCCGCGAGCCACAACTACTAAAGCCCGTGCACCTAGAGCCCGTGTTCCACAAGAGAAGCCACTGCAATGAGACCTGCGCACCACAATGAAGAGTAGCCTCCGCTCGCCACAACTAAAGAAAGCCCGCGCTCAGCAACCAAGACCCAACACAGCCAAAAACAAATAAACAAACAAACTAATTAATTAATTTAAGAAAAGAAGAAGAAGAAGAAAGGGGCAATGTGGTGAAGAGCAACGGATCTGGAGCCAGTCAGACCTAAATCACACTCCTGACGCCACCACTTTCCCTGTGATCCAGAGCAACATACACCTGCCAGGCCTGGGGTGGGGGATAGGGGGTACGGGATAACTTTATTGTGGAGAGACTGGCAGACACTCCCTGAAGCTGGTGATCACACTGAGCATCGCCAATAATGGGATAAACAGAAGCGATGCAGTGGAAGTACACGTCACTACCTGGGTGGTATTCCTGCCAAAAACTGCTGGAAACAACCAGACAGAATAAGATTATGGGACTTTCTACAAGAAAACAGGTCCGGACGCTTTAAAAATGTCAATGTCATGACAAACAAAAACTAGGAATATTTTTCTTTATTAAGAAACTAAAGAGATGTGACAATCAAATGTAACTCATGATCCTTGAAGGTATCCTTTTTTAAAAAGCAGAAAAGGACAGTTTGATAACAACTAGGGAAAATTTAAATGTGGTCTATATTATTAAACAACATTATTGTAACAATGTTCCACAGCTTGGTTGGCTGTGTTAATGGTGCTCTGGTTATATAAGAGAATATCTTGTTCGCAAAGATAAAGGTTAAGTACTCAGGGATAAAGTGTTGATGTCACCAACTTCCTTTAAATGGCTCAGTTAAAAAGAAAAAGTGTGTGTGAGGTTGGGGAGAACACAAATTTGGCAAAATATTAACAACTGGTGAATCCTGGTGAAAGACATCAGTTTCTCATTTACTTAATCTTTTTTTTGAATTTTTTTAATTGAAATATAGTTGATTTACAATGTTGTTTTAGTTGGAATGGGGGTTTAATTCTGTTTTACTACCATGTATTTTCTTGTCTGCTTTGGGTCTTCATTGCTGTACGTGGGCTTTTTCTCTAGTTGCGGCAAGCGGGAGCTACTCTTTGTTACAATGCGTGAGCTTCTCATTGTGGTGGCTTCTCTTGTTGAGGAGCATGGGCTCTTGGCGCGTGGGCTTCACTAGTTGCAGCACGCAAGCTCAGTAGTTGTGGCTCGCGGGGTCTAGAGCACAGGCTCAGTAGTTGTGGCGCACGGGCTTAGTTGCTCTGCAGCATGTGGGATCTTCCTGGACCAGGGCTCGAACCCCTGTCCCCTGCGTTGGCAGGAGGATTCTTAACCACTACGCCACCAAGGAAGTCCCTCGTTTACTTAATCTTGTAACTGTTCTGCAGGTTTGGAAATTTTTCAAAGTATAAAGTTAGGATAGGAAAAACTTTCCAGCCTTCATTTCACCACTTGTAGAATGAGAATAAGACATAGCTCAAAGGGCTATAGGGAAAGCTAGATTAAATAACGTATATAAAGTTCCCAGCCCAGTGCCTGGGACAGAGTACACACTCAACAAATGTTAACTATGTTTTTCATTACGTTTACTGTGGAAATCATTATGCTATTCAGCAAATATTTCCTCACATGGTGGCAATCACACTTCCCACTTCCTCTGAAGTTAAGCCCTGGCCCTATAACCATTCACTGTCCAACGAAATGGGAGTGGAAATGACAAGCATCACCTCTAGGCAAGAGCTTTAAGAACCACTGCACAATTCCCCATGTTCCTTTCCCAACATAAGCAAAGACTACAACCGGGCGATCATCAGCCTGGGTCCCCGAGTGACTAGAACAAGAACAACCTCCCCAAACCCCTGACGCAAGCTGGACACATAGTAAGAGCAAGAAAATAGATGTTTTCCCTGCATTTAAGCCCCTAAGCTTTGGGGGTTGTTTGGTACCACAGAGCATAACCTATCTTATGCTACCTGATATAAGTACATGCAAGATAAAGTGAGAAAAGACCATTAAGCTTTATAAAACATGATTCCACAATAGCTGTATGGAACCGCTAGGCAGGTTACTTGATCTTCACATACCTTAGTTTCCTCATGGATAAAATCAGGATAATTAACAGTACCTAACTCATAAAGCTGATACTAGAATTAGATGAATTACTCAATGTAAAACACTTAGAATGAGGATCAGACAAATACCAGACTTTGAAGGCTGATGTTGGCACAGCCAGAGATTTGATGAGGATATAAGATCGCCAAGGCAAGAGCCTGGCACACAGGATGCCCTCACTAAGCCAGCCATTCTTATGCAGCTATACAACTATAAAATATTCTTACAAATAGAAAAGGGAAGACAATGAGGAATTAAACCTTAGCTAGACCAGGAGTCAGGACAGGTCTGCAGGGGGAGCTATCATGCCCCACCACATATTATTGTCAGTTACTACAAATAGGAAGGTGTTGCCTACTTATCCCGCAGGCAGAAGAAAATTATTCTCCCACCTGAAGACAGTCCAGCCAATCACAGGCTGTAGCAGCCTAACCAGTGAGAAGTCTTTATACTTTGGACTCCCAGGTTCCTCCAATGGACTCTGGTTATTACAGCCCCTAGCAACTCCCCCTTTTACCCTATGAAAGCAAGTTCCCCTTCCTAGTTCTTTGGATTTGCCTATGGTCTGCCACAGTCCTCATATCCTGAGAACTGCAATTCCTCTGGCTATTCCTGAATAAACTCACTTTTGCTGGTAAAATAATTGGCTATTACGGTATATTATTATTAAGGTTGACAACAATAAGACGGTTAAAAAGGTTACTTTCTAAAATTCTAAAAATGGTGAGATTTAAGAGTTTCTTTTTCCATCTGTATACCATTCTAGTATTTTTGTACAATTAGCATATGTTAATATTTCTAATTATAAAAGTAATGCTTTTTTTAAAGAATGTTGAGTACATATGACTAACATTTCACAAAGCATTTTTGTTGACATCAGCAATGTTCTATTATTTTCTTTCTGTGAAAATAGACTATTTTCAAAATATTTCTTTAATATTTGTTATTTCAGGAAGATTTTTCAGAGAAAGCTGATGCCTTCTACTTGAACTACTGAGTTCTCTTATTCTTTTTTTCCCTCCTCCTTTAATATAAACAATCAAACTTGAAGATACCAAGCTCTTTCAAAGCCTCTTAAATATATTTGGAGAAAGGTTAGAAACGGTTTCAAAAGATAGTTTCGTGTTTCCCAGTGTGTAGACGTGAACTGCTTTGATTGTTTATACAAGTATCTGAAATGGATCAAGAATCACTGTAGGATGTTTACCCACGGAAGGCATCATCAAATAATGCCTTTAAATGGACGTTTTCCTTATTTTGGACATTTTAAATAAGAGACGGGGGCAACCTGCATTCAGCAAATAGGTTCATCTGATGTGTTCACTGAATTCCACAGGTGAGCAGGATTCTAACCCCGAGTCCGACTCTGCTGCTTAGCAGCTGCGTGACTGTGGACAGATGAATTCACCCATGAGCCCCAGATGCAAATCCCATCTGCCACAAAGGAAGAATGATGCCTGCTCTACCTATCTCCCCAGGCTGTCCCTGCCTAGGGGCCACTTACTGTCATCCAGGGGCATCTTCCTCTGCGGGGCGACAGCATTGGGCTTCAGGTTGTGATAATCCCGGGAGAGTGCAGAGATGAGGCTGGCATGGTTGATGGAGCGCACAGGCCACTGCTGCTCATTCTCTGGGAGGTTTGGCCATGGAAGCAGCAGGATATTAGAAAGGGCTCGGCACACCAACACCTGAGCCTGGAAGAGACCCCAAGGCGTCCATCAGAAGTTTATTACGAGCAACGTGGGCAGCAGAGGGGCTGTGCCTGACACAACCTTCAGTACCTACCGCACACAGTGAGCTCAGGCCTCAGGCTCCTTTCTTAAAACCTGGGCCTGGGACTTTGGTCCAACTCAGATAATCCACGGAGAAAAGAGAAACTGAGGCAAAAACACCAAATCTGGGTCTAGCACATCTCAGGGCCAGCCTCAACAATCACTCTTAGTGCTGACACTTCCCCTCTAAGTCAGTACTTGAAGCACTGCAGAGGGAGAAATCATAGACACTGAATCCAACCTGTCCCTCAGCTGCCGGCTTCTGACACCCTCCGAGAAGCTACTCAGAACAGTGCTGCTAAGAGTCTCTTACAGTCAATGTGCCCTTGGCGTCAAGTCAGAAGCAATACATTCACATCCCAGGTGCTTTTAAGTAACTGCTTTGACTCCCCTATGACCCCATCCCCGTTTTGTTGTTTTTAAACTTCTAGCCTGAGCCTCCCGAAGGATTTTAGGAGAATATACTTGTCTGGAGTGTCTCAACCCTAAGAAAACAAACATTTAACAACAAAAGCAGACTGTTTTAAACCAGAAAGAATGCAAAGAGGACTCTCCCAACACCAGCCAAATTGCCAGCTCTCAAAGCAGCACAATCTCCATGCCTCTTGGGAGGAACATTTTATGTGTTGAATCAGCACACTGACTGTGTTAGGAAGGTCATGACAGAGAGCACTGAGGCTGCACCGGTGCCATGCATATAAGAAATCCATCTATGTTGGCACAGCCTGTAAGCTCTAAGCGCAAAAAGAAAGGCTAGACTCTTCTTCCTCAGCTTCCCTGAGCCTGAGCCACATGGCTCTGGGGACCCCAGGGTAGCCCTGAGGCCTCACCTTATCAACCAGCCGCTGGGCAGAGGCATCGGTGATTCTGTTGAATACTTTCTGTACTGCGGGGATGCTGATCAGAAAGACGGGTCGCACAGTGGTGGCCAGTGAGACCAGTAAATGGCATGCAGATAGCAGCAATTTGTCTTGGACCTGGAGAGGGAAGAGGACAGATATGTGAGCTCACGACATCTCCTGTGAGACTGGTCATTAGAAGAACTTGGTGAGGCAGCCACAAGCTAAATATGGTTCTTGGATGCGAAAGTATACCACCCAGGCTCTGGCTCAAAGAACTTTTCCTACAATGATGCCCAGCAACAAGGCATCGTCTTCCTTGCCACATCCATAGCTCCTGCCCTCAAGCCAGGACCACCCCCCACGCCCCCCCACCCAGTTCCTCCCATTCTCAGTCACCGGCATCTTTGAGCTCAGTCATTTCTCAGCTCAAGAATCTACAGTGGCTCCCGTCAGCTCTTAAATCACATGGCAAACTCCTTGGCATATCATTCAAACAGCTGGGGATTGTTCATCTCGTTCTTCTTGCTCCAATCAAGCCAAGATCGCTCCACGCGCCCCCTACCCTTTCTGCACTCCATCAGTCGTACCAGACTCGCCTACTTCCTTCACCTCAACATGCCAATCAAAACTTTGGTTCACGTACCATTCTATCCCTTTCAAATTAGCAAAAGAGAAGACTCTTTGAAAACAGGATCTAATGCTAGTAAGACTGTGGTGAAAACAACACACCAAAGAGTCAGTGGCATGTAGAATAATTTAGGAAAAAAAATTACATAACTTCCTAGAACCACAAAATATCCCTAACTTTTAACCCTATAATCCCACTTATTCTAAGAAAACTACCTAAAAGGACAAAGCTACATTCATGAGTACACACATTTCAGAGTTATTCATTACAGAGTGACTTTTTATCAAGCGGAGGCAACGTAAAATACCAACAATGGGTAGGTAAGTTTTGAAACAACCCCTCACAGGATATGATAACTCATTTGCAATTATAAACACAACAAAAATTTACAGAAAACAATACATTGTTCTGTTAATAGTGGTACAGGATACCATGTATGATTAAAACTACCCCACCCCCCAAAAAAAAGAAAGAAAAGAAAAAAAGTATATGCTTTAGAAATATAAATTGGTGGTCTTCTTGGAGGACGACTTAGAATCTATCAAATTTTACATGGATATAACCTTTGACCCAGCAATTACACTTCTAGGAATCTACCCTACAAGGATGTACACACAAGGATCTAATTTCCATCAACAGAAAAATCATTATACACCCCCACTGCAGAAGAGCATTGGTCAATTTGAAAAACTGAACTTGCTCGACACGTGTAAAGGTCTCCGAGGCATACTGTTAAGCAAAAGAAGATATCTGAAGATATCTCTCCAACTATCTGCAAACTTTTACATATGCAGTATGTGAAAACAGGAAAAAGTCTGAAAGATATACAACAAACTGTTGACAGTGCTTCCTTTGGAAAGGAAAATGTTTTGAAGGTAGGGATTAAAGAGTACCTTAAGTTTTTAGTCTGTGTATTTGAACAATATTTTACTTTTTGACAATGAGCATGTATTCATGTGGGACTTAGAGAACTTAAAAAATAGTTATATTTGAATTTATATGGACTACAACTAAAAAGGAACATGAAATGACACACAGTACTATCACAGCGGTAAGAACTGGGTCTAATGCTATGTGGTATTTTAATGTTACAATAAACGGGTATATGAACAGAAGGACAGACATGGGGTTAGAGAAAAGGTGCAGCCTTTGCTGTTTCAAGACCTTGGTGCTGATCAGGGGTGTGACTGCATCCATGGTGGTGGAAATGAGCGTAACAAACTGCTGCGTATTCTGCCGATGAGCCTCACTGCAGTACTGTGCTAGCCAGTGAGAGTAAGCCTGCAGAGCAGCCAGCGACTGAGCGTGCCTGCGAAAGGAGAGAAGACGCGATTTTAAAGGTTATGGTCAAAATACATTATCACTAAACTTTTTCCCACAGAATTTCATCCAGGGCTTCCCTGCTGGCGCAGTGGTTTAGAGTCTGCCTGCCGATGCAGGGGACGCGGGTTCGTGCCCCGGTCCGGGAAGATCCCACATGCCGCGGAGCGGCTGAGCCCGTGAGCCATGGCCGCTGAGCCTGCGCGTCCAGAGACTGTGCTCCGCAACGGGAGAGGCCACAACAGTGAGAGGCCCGCGTACCGCAAAGAAAAAAAAAAAAAGAATTTCATCCAGCACATTTACTATTCTAGGACACGCGTGAAAGTGTGGAAACCATTTACTTGCTCACGTAGTACCTAAAAGTTAAAACCCATCGTCTAAATATTGCCACCATTGCATGGAACACAGAAGGCAGTTAGTAAATGTCTATCAGATCTCATTCAATCTTTCTGTGACACATGTGAGCTCAGCCGAGAGAATGGTAAATAATAAAAACAGAATCAAAGAACCTAAGTGATAATGTGTTGACTTGGGAACTAGTAAAAATTTTATATCCACAGCTACAAATCAGGATGTAGAAAACTACCAGGAATTATAGCTTTATAAATAAGCTTTGATATGAGTCTCTCAAGTTTAAGCTTCCATCATACCATACATGGTGTTTGGCTAGAGGCTTAAAGTAGCAAAGACTATGTTTGGTTTCTGCCAATTTTGTACTGCACCACACACACAACAAAATGTACATCATAAAAGCTCACAATTCATCAGATAATAATCAATCTTTTTACAAGTGAGGCAGTTGTCTCAGAGCTTACAAAACACCAGACCTTCTAATAAACCTAAATGGGTTATTTCTCCCTTTTCTGAAAAAATTAGTAAGTAATCTTGGGGTGATACTTTAAGACTCTAAATAAATATACCATTCCCCAACAAACACCCATTGAGGAACCCTGCCTAAATCATTCTTACACTGGTGGTTGCAAACTAGTGGTTTTTCGAATTCTTTCTTTTTCTGTTCATCAGCTGTATTCTGTAAAAAACAGCTTTCCCTCCCTGATCTTTTTCTTTCTTTTAAATCATATGGATGCTTTATATTCAATATGTTATAACTCATTATCATCCTCATTCTTTGTTGATGATCACACTGTCAAGTCTGACCAGGAAAAACCCTTTCATGCTAGCCCCTATGTCCTTTTCATATGTTCCTAACCTTCCTTACTGACTCAACAAGATTCTCCAGGGTCAACCTGCCCCAGACTTGGAGCATTTCTCCAAGGAACTCTGGTTCCTTTTGATGGAGAATGTATTTTAGAAACCAAGAGCTTGAGTACTAGAGGTAGCATTGCTACTGGAGTGTCACTGCTTCTAGGACCTTTCGATGTAGCTAGGTTACAGGCAGACACTATTTAAAAACCAAACTCGATATCAACAATCCCAGGGCAAACTGACGTCAAGTGCCTCTAGATATGATGCAAGAAGGACATGTCATCTCCTATGCAATATTCTTGCTAAAATGTTTAACCTCAATCAAATACAGAGAAAAACAACTAGACAAATCCAGATTAAGATTTTCTTAAAAAACAAAACAAAACAAAACATTAAGATCTGGATCTCCAGAAAGTCAGTCTCTCTCTCCACCCCACCCCTCCCAAACATGCACAATTTGGGGAACTGGTATAGGCTACAGGAGACACACATAATGTGTGATTCATTAGTTAGAACTCAGATCCAAAAAATGTATGTCTATAAATATATATGTAAAAAGGACATTCTTGGGACAATTAGGGAAATTTGCATACGGAATATATATACATATACACTTAAAAATAGGAAACATACTTACATACTTACTGACATTATTGTATCTATGAAAGTTTTTGAGTGTTGACAATGGTATTATGGTTACATAGGAGAATGTTCCTAGGGGATACATGCTGAAGGATATACATGTGAAGTGATGTGTTGTTTGCAATTTATTTTCAAACAGTTCACACACAAAAAACGTATGTGTGTGCACTTGTGTATAGAGACAGAAGCACAAGAAAAAAAAAACAGCAGGGCTTCCCTGATGGCGCAGTGGTTAAGAATCCGCCTGCCAATGCAGGGGACACGGGTTCGAACCCTGGTCCGGGAAGATCCCACATGCTGCAGAACAACTAAGCCCGTGCACCACAGCTACTGAGCCTGTGCTCTAGAACCTGCGAGCCACAACTACTGAGCCCACATGCCACAGCTACTGAGCCGATGCACCTAGAGATTGTGCTCCACAACAAGAGAAGCCACCACAATGAGAAGCCTGGCAGTGCAACGAAGAGTAGCTCGCCACAACTAGAGAAAGCCTGCATGCAGCAATGAAGACCCAATGCAGCCAAAAATAAATAAATAAATAAAATAAATTAAAAAAAAAAAAACAGCAAATGTGGCAAAATATTTATCATTGATGAATCTAGCTTGAGAGTATAGTATATGGGTGTTCATTCTATTTTCCCCTTTTCTATAGATTTGAACTTTTTCAAAATAAGTTAGGTAAGAGAAGGTACTAAGTACTTTAAAGTAAGGAAATATAAATATTGGGAATTTGATATTCATAGTGACAAAGCAGTTATTTTGTATTTTATCTTTAGAATCCATTGATCAAAAAGTAAGTACCAAAAGTAAGGAGGAAGACATCAAAGTGCGTCTTGGGGTGGGGTGGGGGGGCGGGTTCCTAAGAATTTCAATCAATCTATCAAACTTACAGAGCTCCTTAAGGCTGAAGGGAGGAGCTCTAAAACTTCCTGAAATTGTGTTCAAGGAGTTGTGTTTATGAGCAAATTAGCATTTTTCTTGGGAGAAGCTTTCTCTAAATTCTCAAAAAGGAAAGCAATATTTAAAAAAATATATTTTTTTAAACAACCACAGTAAATAAGACTGTATTATTTATCTAATTTGAAGCTCAAGAATGCTCTAGAACAGGGGTCAGAGACTTTTTCTGCAAAAACCAGAGTATAAATATTTCAGGTTTTATAGGCCATCCACTCTTGTTCAGAACTATTCAACTCTGCCACTGAAAGCAGCTCATAGATAATACGTAAATGAACGGGAATGGCTGTGTTCCAATTAACTATTTACATAAGCTGGCAGTGGGCTGGATTTGGCACAGGCCATAGCTTGCCAACTCCTGCTCTAGTCTAGAGCAAGCCTTCTGGGCAGTGTAATCTCTGGGATATGGCCCGATCTCCAGTTCCCATTCCTCTATCCCTTCCATATGTCACTTTCCTAATGGCTTTTCACTGTCTGTAAAGTTTCTCAAAGTGTGGTCCCTGAATGCCCCGCTTTCAAAATCACTTGAGGTTCTTGTTTAGTATGTAAATACCCGAGGCTTATGCCATCCTGCTACAATCAGAATCTCTGAGGGAATATGTTTCCCAAGCCATTCTCCTGTACCCTGCAGTTTCAGTCACTGGTCTACAGGGTAAGAGTCATGGCATTCAAGGTGAAACACTTAGCCCTAACATGCCTATCCAGCCCCATGTCCCACCACACCAACTGCTCACCACGTCCCTAACTGTGTGACTCTGGAACACTTCTGTGGCTTGGCATGTGCTGTTCTTTCCTCCTGAAATGCCTACTCCACATACCTTCTGCTGCCAGCTCTCATCTGCCCGATGAATTCCATTCACTCCAACCACCCCGGCCCCGAGATATCATCAATCTTTATCTTTCTAGGTTTGGAGGTGGGAGTTTTTCACCTTTTCATGGCAGCCACTACAGTCCCTTTTTATCTGTAAATCAATTGGGGCCAGACAACAAAGTCTTTCTGAGAATACACGAACATCTAACTATACTTACACATCAATGAGATCAGGCTTCAATACTGATGGCACGGCAGTCTCAATGTTGTACAATTTTATCTGAGATCCATACAAAGTGACTTTGACCAGCCTGTTGGCAAAGAAGAATATAAGAAAAAACATTCAGCTTATGGACCAGAATAGACAAAATGGACTAGGTACCAGGTCTCGAGGACAGACTTTTTTTCAATCAAAAAGAATCCAGACCAGGTCTTCAACTTTATCCCAAAGACATAATCTGAGATGTGCATAAAGATTTATATACTAAGATACCAACTAAAGCGTTACTTACATTGAAAACAATATAAATATCCAACACAGAGAACATAATGTAACAATATATACAATAAAAATGATTAGGATGGAAATTTTTATGTTATGTGTATTTTACCACAATAACAAAAATTAGAAAAAAAGTGAATGTTTCAGGCGGATAGGTATATGATAAAGAAAATACAGCAAAATATTCACTGTAGAATCTATGGGTATTTCCTACACAATTTTTTAACTTTCTGAAGAGTTGAAATGGGGTGGGGGGGAGGGAGGCCACAAAAGTTTCTAAAATAGATTAAGGTATTTTTAACTTCAAGCACAATTCTTTGAGAAGCAAGTTACTGAGCCCACTGGTTGCCCAAGGGCTCACTATATATCAGTACAAACAAACATTAAATACAATAACTAACAGCCAGCTCTAGTGGGAAATGGGAAATGCATCTTTCACTAGAGACAGACATTCCTTTCTGAGTAAACATAGACAAACAAACCAAAAAAACTAGAGATCTGGCTAGGTTCTCTCTGTGCTTACTCTGTAAGGAAACCTGGGAGCAGGTCTGAGGGGGACGCCAGGGAAGACGGTGCATGTTTCTCTCCCCCAATCCAACAGTGAGGAGGGTCTCAAACTTCACTGAGCATAAGAATCAACTGGGGAACTAATTACAAATGCAGCTCGCTGGTGCTACCCCACAGACTGACTCTCTAGCATTGAGGGGGGTCTGGAAATGTGCATCTTTGAAAAGCAGCAGGGGACTCTGATGCATGTGGACCATACTCTGAAAAATGTTCCTCTCTGATGGTGGGGAGAAAGCAGGACTTTGTTACAAAACCACAAGCTCGAGACACAAGTTATTCAGGGTTGGGGAGCAGTCAGAAAGACGAATTTCTAGTCAGTCAAGGACATAAGGGTAAAAGAGCCAAGGGTCCTCAATCTGAAGTCCTAGGAAGTGGGGTGTGGTGGTGGCAATAACTAGGCATCAAATCAGTCACCATCAATAAGTAAGACGCCAATGAGCAGCCAGTATTTAATTCTTTAAGCTGCCCCACATTTTTCACATTCATACAATAAGTGTACAGTTCAGTGGTATTAAATATATTCACAACGTGCTACCACCCCCACCACCCATCTCCATTACACTTTCATCTTGTAAAACTGCACCTCAGTACCCATTAAATAATAACTCTCCATACCCCTCCCACCCCGGCAACCAGCCTTCTATTTTCTGTCGCTATAATTTTGACTACTCTAAGTACCTCATATAAGTGAAATCGTACCACATGTGACTTTACATTCTGTTTCTTCATTCAACGGCATTCTTTAACGTTGTTCTATACTAAAAATGAACATCTTTTAATATTTCTATGTTTAGCAATCTTAATATTAGGTTTGTTTTATGTAACCTGTAAGTGAAAACACTGCTAATCACAGTGGCTATTAAGATCACATAGCCATAACAAGGAGGCGTCTCTCACACTTTATTCTAAATGAAGACAAAACAGCAAAGTATCTTTACGTACTGAGCCTGAAAACCTAAGCAGTGCAGAAAGATATATCTATAAGGACCTATAAAATAGCAATCCAGGATGTCTGAACAGTCATTTCACTATGAAGTTGAAATGACTGATGGATATAATATACTGCTTAAGTTTAAATTAAATATAGATTTCAGACAGAAGGACATGTTCTGTTCCTACTAACCATCAGTGGAAACAGGCCTAGTGCAGGAAAAAGAGGAAAAAGAACTTGAAGTAGAAGCTCTGTGGTTTGGAAAGAGCACAGTATTTGGACTCAGGAAACTGGTTAAAGTACCTGTGCTTCCACTCATGAACTGTGTGACCTGAGGTAAGGCACTCACCCTCTCTGGGCCAGAATTTACTCAGATAAAATGACAATACCTGTCCCTCAAAGTATAGAATGAAAGAAAATGTACAAAATTACTTTTGAAAATTTCCTATTACTGTATGCTGCTTTTATTATTAATATTAATCTGGCTTTTCAAGATTTATTTAAAATTCTTAGTTATTGCTGCTTTTAAGCTAAGAGTAACAGTTAAAGAAAAATCTGGCATGCAAGTAATTAGGCTTGAGCCCCAGCTACCCCTCATGTGTTACCAACAATACAGCTACTGGGTAAATGAAAGTACCAGGTGTCTCTCAACTTTCGGCTGGACCCACACCCACCCAGTTTTGATTGAATCAACTCACTGGTTACCTTGAAATGATCTGAAAACCTCCTGTCACTTTTATTTTAAGCATATGACTTTTTAAATGTATGAGTTCATGAGAAGGGAGGGGGCAGACTAGGTAGTAGGAAATGGTCTTCAACAAATGCAGCCGTAAACCCTGTGGGGGACCCTCGAGGAAGCAGGAGTAAAAGGAGCTTGGTGGTGGGAAGGCTGGGATCCACCCCTCAGGTCAGGCTTGGAGGCTGCCCAGCTTCAAATCCTCAGGACCCTAAGAGGACTGGAAAAACCAGTCCCATTCTAAAAGGATCAGAAAAGGTCCCGCCTCTGGCCTCTGGCTGCCTACTCGGATAGTGCCTACTGCCTATGTGTTTGTCCTTTTATTAATATGGCTTCCTTCATGTCTCTTTATGACCTCACCTGGTTTCTTCTGAGGTTACTCCTGTCTTTAAATATAAGATCGTCTATGAAATAACAGCTTTTATTTACTGTTTGCTACATACTAGGCCCTGTGCTCAGTGCCTTACCTCATGTAATTCTCACAATAAACCTACAGGATACTACGTCCACTCCATTTTACAGATGAGGGACCTGAAGTTCAGAGAGGGTCAGTGACGGCTCCACACTCCCCTGTATGTGGCAGAGCCTCAATTCACCTGGCGCCAGAGCAGAGCTGCCTGGCAACAGCTGTTCCTCACACAAGCAGGTAAGCTGAGCTCCATGCTGTAACTGCCCACCCACCTCTCCACCACCGTGAGGGCGTCGCTGAAGCGCACGACGAACACGTCCCCGATGAAGTACTCGGCTAGGCGGCCCACAGCCTGCAGGAGGGAGCTCAGGTCTCGCAGGGAACAGTGCAGCCGCCGGCAGTCGTTCTCTGCTGTGATGTTCAACCTGTGTCCTGGAACATAACACTTCAGATGGTTTTTCAACAGGAAGAACATGCTTTAATTGCCGCTACAGATAACTGCTCATCCAGGCAAGCCACATTCAGCAAAACCAATTTTTGAAACATAGCAACCCACAGGCTGCTTCCCAGTACCAAGCAGGGAAACTGGGCAGGCTCCACCTACAGCCAGACCCACATGCACCCCAAGGCCAGAGGGAGAAACAGAGACAACTGATAGCCCGGGCCGTGCTCACATGGACCGATCTGATCCATGACTGGATTCCTCTGGATCCTGTGAGGAATGACACCGCCAATTTCACATACAAGGAAACACACCCAGGGGGGCCCAGTAACTTGCCTAACATGGGTCGTATTTCCAGGGCAGAGCTAGACTCCTAAGCTAAGTCTATGCAACTCTGCGGGCTTTCTGCAAATGGCCCTGGTGCAGAATGGAGTCTCCATGGGCTGACAGGGTTCAAAGAACAGGGTGCACTCAGCACTCCACCCCAGGTTCGCAGGTAGCACCATATGGACCAAAGGCACAGGAGTTGGGATTCAGAAGACACAGGTTCCCTGCCACGTGCAAGCTCTGTGCCTCAGAGAGCCCTCTAAGTCTCAGTTTCTTCATCTTTAAAATGGAAACAAGCCCTACTATCTAATTCACTATAGTAAGGGCTGAATTAGAATGTGTAAAAACCCTATAAACTATAAAACATTATTCAGTGTTTGTAATTAATAATGAATAAAACAAAGAGCTAGTGATTTTCTAAGGCCTGAAACTTTCCTTCAACATTTCTTCAAGTTGAGCAAGGAGGAAACAAAGATGAAGGACAACAACATCCTCAATGCAGCCACATCCTTGCCCTTTGGACCCCTCTCCCCACACAGGTCTACAAAATATATTAATTATTGCCAAGCCAGAGAAAGCGCTCTCCGTCTGACCAAGTCTTCCTCCTGCATCCAGGAGGAGGGAGGGAGAGGCAGTAACAGTAAGATCACTGCCATAGGGCACCTGCAATCCATCCACTCCCTAAATACTTTTCGAACCTTTTCCAGCCACTGCCACTTCATGATTTTACTCTGCTAGAGGCAGGAACCTCCCCCGACATGGCGCTCCACGGCATCTTCCTAGAACCCAGATTTAAGCACAAAGCTCCCAGCAGGCAAGGTGCCAAACCCTTCTGGGGCTCCCTCTGGCCAAAAGGGAAAATCCCAACCTCCCCAGCTTCAGCTGAGGTCTCTGTGACTTCACCTCCTCCTCCGATCCCACTCTATCACCTGGACCCACTGATGACCCCCTGGTGCCTCGTTTCTGCAACTCTACACAAGCTGGGGTCTCTGCCTGGAGTCCCCACGTCACTCTCTGGCCACGCACACCTCACGGCCCTCATATAGCCTGCAGGCTCACCTAAGTATCGCCTCTCCTGGAAAGCCTTCCTTCCCCACTCCCCCAACAGAGGGAACTCACTTCCCCTCCTACATCCCCCCCAGGGTACCCCGTGCGTAAGGAGATAAACTACTGATTTATAAGTCTGTCTCCTCACTGACTGTGAACTCCTTCGTGGTGAGGGGCTCTGCCCAGCAGCCAGCACGGCACCTGGTACAGAATGAGTGACCACAGATGTACGACTGAATTTGACACACAGAACAGAGAGCTAACTAGAGCAGGAGAGAGAGTCCTGGGGGCCTGAATTTTCTCATACTGCCCTTGGGAGCATTCACTTTACTAGGTAAACGTGAATATGGATAAGCGACACTGGTGGAGAAGAAAAAGGAAGGATGACACCTAAGAGACCGGGGGTGAAGCAGCAAGTTCGATGCCTCAGCTCCTACACTGACTTCCAAGTGCTGAGGCCGGAAGAGAGCCTGTGACAGCCCCGAAGGAAGGACAGGAGCCTGGAAAAGGGGACACTGTGACCAGGGTGTTGTTACAGTGGGTCACACCCCAAGGAGCAGAAGAACAAAAGGAAGGGGCAACTCAAGGAGAGAGCCAGTGACAAAGCCGGCCCTGACCTGCCCGATCACCTGTCCGCTTGCAACACTCCCCGTGGAGAGCAGAGCCTAGGTGCAGAAACACGGAGTGGGCTTCTCAGCCTCAGGCAGCCCTGCCAAGGCCGCTGGGTGGGTGTCTAAGGAGGGTGGGCCAGCTCCCCTAGTCAGAGCAGGAGGGTGAGCATCCCACACCTCCAGCCAGAGGAGCCCACAGAACACACAGAACCAAGAAGTGGTTCTGGTCGTGCTTGGTCACATGAGAGGGAAAAATGCCTCTCGACTCTCCTCTCCCAGTTAACAAAAGTGCCACAGTTACACACCTTCTGAATGTCAAGGATGTTCAGGGTTATTGCCCAGAGTAAACGAAAACCTGTTGTTCCACCTGTATGCAGACCAACCAAGCCTTAGGGCTCTGTGGGAAATAAACCCTTAAGAAAAACATACCCTGGAACTGGATGTGGTGGTGGTACAGGCTTCAAAAGAGATGAGGCCAGCTCTTCGTTCAGAGAGCAACGTGGACAGGTTTCAAATCTGCATCAGTGGCCCCTCACGCTCCCTGCATGTACCCATCCTCATCTTCCACCCCATCTCCCACCGAGCTCTACCCTGACGAGTCGGTTTCAACTTATTCACTGTACTAAATACCAAGAACTAGGTACCCTTAGGTACAACCTAAGAACTAGGTTCTTAAATATTTTAAGCATGAAGGAAAACATTCTGTGTTTCTCTTTTAAAAACCAAACCAAAACACCACACTAAATCATGTTTCCCTAGTAGATGGTCATGAGACAGCTTAAAAGTCATGGTGACCAGGCCTGCCCCTCTTCCCCTTTGGCCCCTGCATCCATGCATACATCTGAAGCATGGCCTTCCCCCAGCCTTGCCCCTCCAGCCTCTTCCTGGACACCTCAACTGAATACTAGAGAGCCCAATGCCTCTTGAGGGAGTCTTCCATCTTTGGACAGCTTGGTCAAAAACACAGGGGTCTCCCTATAATTGCTCCTTATTACCCCTGGTCCCGCCCTTTGAGGGGAGAAAAACAAGCCTAAGCCTGCCGACACATGACAGTCTTGGGGACATATGGAGAGAGGGGTCACACTCTTGCCAGTCTCCTCTTGGCTGAAATACACCCCAGGGCCCCTTCCATTCTCTGTGTCACCCTCCCTCGAGAATCCTTGCCATCCTGATCACTCCCCTCTGAACCTACCCTAATTTGTCTGACAAAAAGCAGCACCTAAAATGAAAAACAGCTTGCAAATGCTATGTGTGTCTTAAACTATTAGTTTGAACCATATGAAATTGCTGATACTTGACCGTTTCTGACCTAACAAAACTACAATTCCACATAATTCAACTTAAAACATATGTGCCATTCAAGGTTCATATTAATCAAAATGGCAGTTGGCTCTTCCCTGCTCCGTCTGCAAGGCAGACAAACATACAGGCAGTAAGTACCCTAAATCAGTCTCCAGCCCCTGCCCCCCAGCCTGGAAACCACATACTACCACCACCGCCAAAAAATCATGCAAGGTACCACACCTCAACCTGAGGGGGCAGGCTAGAGTTCCCATTGTGAAAAGCTGTTCAAATCAACCCACATTTTCTTCTATTTGGCTAAGGCTTCGTTCCCTCCCTCCTCCAGTCAACAGCATAGAACATCCGCAAAGTGGAGCCTGCAGGGGAGAACACTGCTAGGTACAGGTTTCAGAAATAGAAAATATCATGGCCACACTGAAGTCCTATCTTACAGAAAGCAAGTCACCCTGCAGCTGTCTAGATGTACCTAAGCCACATCCAAAGAACAGCTCACTGGCAAATCACTGCCCTGGAAAGAAACATCTTAATGTTAAATATAATTCGGTCTTTCTTTCTCTTCTTCTTTTTTTTTTTTTTTTTTTTTGGAGGGGGGGGGAGTCTGGGAGATAAAGGTATAAAAATTAGCATTTAAGGTATTCCACTCTGAGAGAACAAACAAGTCATAAACGAACCTAAGCAGAACAAAGAATTTAAGTCCAAAAATCTATATATTGTAGTTGGAGCAATCTCTTAGGCAGGGAAGTTTGCACAGCTAAACAGAAAAATTAACAGGGCTGCTTAGAGCAGAAATATTGCCCCAATGAGGGAAGATCTCAGTGAGGGGTGGCAGAAGGCAATCACCTACAAAATGGATACCTGAGGGCCACATAAAGACACAAATGCAGCACTCGGGGCACAACAGGGCTCTGAGGATTTTTCAAACCACAAAAGGGACAGACAAACAGCGAGGGCAAAGGATGACTCCCAGGGGTACGGGAGGAGGCACAGTGACTGATGTACCTACCACAGGGACAGCATGTTTTGCCTTGGACTTTACTGAGGAAGTAGAAGCAGGAGGATCAGCAGAAGCAGAGTAAAGAGTAAGACTCCCATCTCACAGGCTCTGGAATTCAGGCCAGGAGAAGGTCAATGCAAATGAAAGGAATGGGCCATAACCCATCAGGGGAAAGAGAACGTAGTTTCTGGTAAGAGGCAGTAAGGCTGACTAATATAGCATGGAGGTTATATGAGGGGTAAATGACCATGGGAACCAAGGAACAAAACGTACTCAGAGTTTCCATTTTTTTAATAGCCTTTGCATTGGAAACTTGGCTTTTGCTTTGTCATGGATAAGAGAGCTCATTTTAAAACAGGAAATAAGGATTTCTCTGGGCTGAGAGGTTCTGCCACTGGGGTATATGCACCAAGGATCAGTGCTAGGGATGAGGTTTAGAAATGACCTGGAAGAGCCAAGTGCACTGTGAAATTGCCAGTAAATGGGCGGCAATGAGAGCGGGCATATGATATTTCATTTAGGGAAAAATCATTCAGATTATCCTTCTCAGATAAGAAGCTCTAAGTTATCAATTATGTCTCAGAAAAAGGACTTAAGAATCACTGCAGGGGGCTTCCCTGGTGGCGCAGTGGTTGAGAGTCCGCCTGCCGATGCAGGGGACGCGGGTGCATGCCCCGGTCTGGGAGGATCCCACATGCGGAGCGGCTGGGCCCGTGAGCCATGGCCGCAGAGCCTGCGCGTCCGGAGCCTGTGCTCCACAATGGGAGAGGCCAGAGCAGTGAGAGGCCCGCGTACCAAAAAAAAAAAAAAAAAAAAAGAATCACTGCAGGTTTTCACCTGAAGACCGACTCAATGTAACGTAAAAAAAAGTCAGCTACTAACACTGAATTTAGAGGTCAATTCTGGGGGAAAGGAATACACGCTCGACTTTTTTTTTTTTAAGATCAAGAATGTCTTTAGGGTCCTGAGTATATTCTAATTTGAATAGTGGCCCTGAGGGAGAGATCACCACAGTACGATTTTTCCCAAGAATGGATTCTGGAAACATCTGTAGCATTTGTACACAGTCAAATATCCATAAATGCTGACAGCATTTTACAGGTGCATTTGCTTTGAAAAGTGGTCTTTTTAAAGTTCTGCATAAGCTGTTCTTACCCTATCTACACAATCAGGGCCTGAAGCTGGGGCATGCCAAGTCCCATCAACCTCCTGGGGCCCAGTGGATTATTCAGAAGCTAATATAGTCATGGAAACAAGCCGTCACAGGCCACCAAGAAGGGCAGCCTCAGAAGGAGCCTCTTGGGGAGGCTCTGCCACAAATAACAAGCTCATCCAGGCAATGGGCTACACCCTGGACAGCTCTGTGCCAGGCTGAAACAAGAGTTACACAACAGAGGGGAGCCCGGCCAGGGCCAGGCATAACTCCTGTAAGGAAAACTGTGAGGAAGAGCAGTGTGAAATGATGCATGCGTGCGTGCGTGCGTGCGTGTGTGTGTGTGTGTGTGTTTTCTCAGCTGGCAGAATGAATGTCAGATTTTGGTTAATTCAACTTTTTATTATTCCCTATTATACCATCTTGGTACTAGCACCAACAAGCCACGTGACCTTGGGTAAACTAACATCTCTGAACATTAATTTCCTCTTCTGTAAAACAGGAGAACTATTATTAGTACTTACACCTCACAGGCCAGCTGAAAGAAGTAAATAACATAAGCAAATAACATGGTGCCTGGCATGCAATGTGTGTTCTACAAATAGAAGCTATTATTTTATCATTATTATTAACAAAATAACCAAAAAATGCTAACCCTAAACCCCAAGCTGGTGAAACCTGCCAACAGCAGGCCAAAATCTTTCCAACTGGCTACACTCAGGGCTGTTGACACAGGAGAGCTAACCATCCCTGAGGGTGAGATCTACCAGTCCACCTGCTGCAGAGTTGCTCCCATGTCCTCCTGATTCTAAAAGCCAGAGAAGAACAAACCCATCGCAGGAAAGTCCAAGACCATTTTTTTCTAGTGTACTAGCTGGTTTAAAGGACACAGAGAAATATTCTAATCACTAGGGTTTTTTAAAAGTCCTACCTCTTTGCTCCAAACCAGCTTCCTTTCTCTCACTGAGACGCCTCTTTGGTATATGTGGTCACAGCCTCATCTCTTACCTCCCCCAAAGCTCCTTTTTAATCATGATTTTTTTTGTTTTGTTTTGTTTTTTAATTTTCCCTGTTTAGAAATGGAGAGAGAGGGAGCAGTAGGGAGGGGGCAGTGGAGAAAGCATGTTCTGACAACACAGAAGGCAGTAATTAAATATGAGTCCAATTTTTTCTGAACATTAAATTAGAAAATAAAAGCCAGTTTACCTGACGCTGAAGTAACTATAAACTGCTGTAACCCCAGATAAACTTCTAAATTGTCCTGAAGAACTGGAAACTGAAAACAAAGAAACAAAGATTTAAAAACTAAAAAACAAAAAACACACAGCATAAATGCGAATTGTAACAGCATTTCAACAATGAAAGTAGTACCTATGGTGGGGAGGAACAGGATAAAAAACTTTTCTCTGGGAAGCTTTATATGCAGCCAAGAAGAGGTGGCACCCTTCAGCACTTCCCACCCCCGACAATTTCTACAATTGAAACCACCAGTTAATATTTGGAATAAGAAAGAAAATAACACACAAGTTTGATACTTTTTCTATTTTTTATTTTTTTTTATTTTTTGCGGTACGCGGGCCCCTCACTGTTGTGGCCTCTCCCGCCGCGGAGCACAGGCTCCGGACACACAGGCCCAGCGGCCATGGCCCACGGGCCCAGCCGCTCCACAGCATGTGGGATCTTCCTGGACCGGGGCACGAACCCGCGTCCCTGCATCAGCAGGCGGACTCCCAACCACTGAGCCACCAGGGAGGCCCCAGTTTTATACTTTTTCTAAACAAAGCTCTGGATGCTGGGTATGATTATTATGACTATTATGTTCTTAAAAGAGGACATCAAGCCCCCAAATGATCTACACCTTCTAGAGCTCTGAGACAGGGCCCACCTCCGTTCAAGTCCAAGGAAAACCCTGCCTTTGAAAGAAATAGCAGATATGCCTTATTAAAGTGCATGGCAGAGTGAAAAGACAGCCAAATTATTTGGAGTCAGTTTGCCTTACTCATTTAGCAGACAGGACCTTCATAACCAGAGCTCTACCTCTTCTTTCTAAAGCTGCTAACTCACCATTAAGATAAAATTAAGACGTTAATACGACAGGTCCCAAAGAAAGGCAGATGGCAAAATAAAATGGCACTCTCCATAAGAGAATACAAGATATAGCTGGGCTGTGCAATGCAAAGCTGACCCTAATAAATTATCTTGCCTCTAGAGGAGAGATGGACTTAATGAAATCTCCTCAAATAACAAACACCACTTAGTAAATGAAATCAGTCCTTATGACTAAGGATTCTAGCACATAAACACAGGCAGAGAGTACCCAGCAAATAATTTGTCAAGAGTGAGCTTTACAAAGGCTAACTTTTCAACGATGTAATTTTTATAAATATATCTTCCACTTGGCTTAGCCATTTCTGAGCTACTGATGAAAGCATTATTAAAATTCATATTACACCCAAGAGTTTGGGAAAGAAAAACAGAGCTTCCAAATGTTGATTTTAAAATATCTGGGGGAAATGTTAACATTTTTAAATTTGAGGGTCAGTTATGGTAATTATTATTGTTCAAAATATATACATTTCATAATACTGGTGAGCAAAAAAGCCTTACTACTCGTGCTATATGCAGGGAAATAATTAGGCTCTTCGTTCCCCTCCAAGTGGTGAGTTACCAGTGCTGAGAAGGCGTGTGTGGGAAGGAGCTCCATCACTTTGGCCACTACCTCCAAGCTCTGGCGTAAGTACCGCTGCCACTCTGTCTGCTGCTGCGGGGCAAACACAGAAGGATCAGCTCTCCCAGACAGGCAGAGTCTCGTCATCTTCCCTGCCAACCTGTCCTCAACCTCAAGTCCACTCTCAGACATAAAATATGTGAAGAAATAGCAAATGATGGAACCAGGTTTTTTGGTACTTTAAAAAGCTAAGCTAAAAGAATTTTTTTAATCCAATGAATTAATTTCACAAGAAGCTATTTCCTCAAAAAGCAAATGATCCACATAGAATGACCTACTTTTCTCCCTATTGTCATAGGAATAAGATATTTTTAAAAAGCCACCTGTGAAATGCTCAAGTTCCCTTTACGTCATCCCAGCTATAGGAATTGGTTCATTACCTTCTGAGACAGCCCGTTACTGAGCACATATAAGTATAACCAACCACACCAGTGCCAGGCAAAGTATGGTCCTCAGACAGGCAGCATCAGCATCTCCTGGTGGTTTGTCAGAAATGCAAACTCTGTGCCCCCACCCCAGACTTCCTGAATCAAAGTCTATTTAACAACCTGACCCAGTGATTCTTATCCAGGCTAAAATATGAGATGCACTGGCCTATATCAAACAGGTAACGGGAAGTGAAGCTAAAATTCACCAAGCCTCTACTATCCACCAGGCACGTGGTCAGTACATCCACATGTGCTGCTACCCTCACGTGTAACTGTCATCATAGGTCAGTTCAGATATATCCTTCCACTTTTGGGAGATGAGGAAATTAAAGCTTAGAGGAATTCAGTGACCAGAGCTCTACCCCCTTCCTACCCAGGGTTGCAGAGATTCAAATCCAGGCCATCTGATTCGAAGTATAAGGCTATTTTGAACCCAAATATGGCTTCCCTCAAGGTCTTGACCACACCACAGTGGCTGTTATTTTGAGAGTCATACCAGTGACCTGAAATTTTTTTTTTTATTGAAATTTTTTAAATGCATGGTGCTTAAGAAAAAGGAACACTGGAGTTGTGTCCTTAAAGACATTTTCCTTACAAACGTTGGGCACACCAGCATCATTAAATTCAAGATTGATTTTAAGAGGTATCAGTTTATAAAATATATATAGTCAAAAGAGACATCCTTTCATTCTAGCCTTATCATTTAAGTGTCTCTTTAACTATTTCCACCAGCATCCAGCTAGCTTTTATTTGTTGCCCAGAGTGTGGATGCAAGGCAGGGGAAACAGGAGGTAAACACAGAGTTCTTACTAAACCACTTTTCACTGTACATATGGTTTTCTCTACTTACCTCTCTAGTCCATAGAGGTAAATGCCTGTAAAACTTTTTTTTTACAGTTAATGAACCCAAAGAGACCAGTCGGATACAAATTTCAAATGCATAACTCAAACCATAAGACCACTCTGGCTTAAAAATAATCTCCAGAGCAAAGGGCCACGGGTTCCAAGGCTCCATTTCGATTCATACCACAGCATGACAATGATTAAGGTCAATCAGGATATGCTGCTTACATCGTCATCCAGTGTCTCATCATCCAACTCCTCCAACTGGGCCTGGTTGTATCTGAACTGGATTCGATTCAACACCTCCGTGAGCAAGAGGACTAGGGCGTCTTCGTACCTATGTGGCAGGGAGAAATTCAACATCAGATGAAAGGAGGCTTTTAGCCTAGGATTTCAAAAAAGCCTCCTGTACTGTGAAGGGAATGGTGTCTGTGTTGGATCACCATACACAAGAAGCATCTGAACTAAACTTAGTTTATGGTTTTGCAAGTGCTATGTGAGAGTGGAACAGTAGCAGGGGTGTTTGTTTATTTATTTAACTATGTTACAGGCATAGAACATACTGGATTGAACCTTCTTGATGGATTGAACCTTTTATCATTATATAATGTCCTTCTCTGCCTCAGGTAGCAATTTTTGTCTTAAAGTCTGTTTTGTCTGATATTAGTATAGCTACCCTTGCTCTCTTTTGGTTATTGTTTGCATTGAATGCCTTTTTCTATCTTTTTACTTTAAACCTATTCGTGTCTAAAATTCAAGTGAGTGTCTTAAACAACATGTAGTTGGATCATGTTTTTTAATCCATTTTGCCAATCTTTGCTTTTTAACTGGAGAAGTTAATCCTTTACATTTAATGTAATTACCAATAAGGAAGGACTTACTTCTGCCATTCTGCCATTTGTTTTCTCTATATCTTTTCTTCCTCAATTCCTCCAGTACTGCCTCCTTTCGTGTTAGATATTTTCTAGTGTGCTATTTTAATTCCCTTGCCATTTCTTTTACCAAATATTTTTAAAGTTCTTTTTCTCAGTGGTTGCCCTGAGAATTGTAAGTACTATATATAAATATCTATTAATTCAATGATTCAGTCCTTTTTAACAACTGTGACAGGTAGGTGGTATTATCAGTACTTTTCTGATGAGGAAACTACAGTTAACAGAAGCTAAATAAACTGCCCAAGGTCACAAAGCTAGCTGGTTTGAACCCAGAGCTCCCTAACTCAACATGTCATGTTCTTCTCTCTACACATAAACCACCAACAGGCTTAGAGCCTGCTCCACCCACTCCAGAAAACCTCAATTCTAGTCAATTTGTAAGAACACTTACAAAAAAGGAGAGATGGAAAAAGCCTAAGGGAACAATGACCCTTTGATCTATGTCTAAGAATAATTTCTCAAAGAAACATGTGGAGCCCAAGGCTTGGATATTTTCCACATGTGATAAGAACCTAACTCAGAAGACACCATAGTTCTATGTGACAGTTGCTACCACAAGGGCCAACAAACCACTAATTTTCAAGAACAAATCAAGTAGCCTGAATGCTTGCCTGTCCTGAAATGTTTCTACGAGTTCAGACCTCGTCTTACTCACAAGGCAAACCAGCCACGCTGGTTATTCAGCTCTCAGTGCCAGTCCACTCTCCACGTTTTGTGATGCTGGGACTCAAGACTACACAACGCACATTTCTCCTCTGCCTGTTAGGCTCTGTCAACAGGGGCACTGGAGGAAAACTGGAAGGCAGAAGGAGGGGCAAAGGGACCCCATTCTTCCTGTGGGCTTGCTGTCCTGGCCAGTGTCACCCCAACAATGGTCACCTGGCAGTAATAATTGGTTCCAGCTTCCACACTCCCCAAACCAGCCCCCATCACGAACTCTCAGAGGTGCTAGCAGCAGCCAGGTTACATCTTCTCAAAGGATTAAGTCCCAGCTCCCTGGGGCCTCTCCTCTGAGCTCCTGTGGCAGTTGGGTGATACCCTCTCCTCAGAGATCTGAGCTCTAGCGGCATGGGGGCCGTCCCTCTGATATTTGACATTTTAATGACCCCAACACCTCTTTCCTTTGTACCGCTAGCCCTAGTAGTGGAGCTGTTTCCCCCAGTTATCATCTGTGTTGTCTCAGTGGTCAAGGACATGGAAAGAATTCATTTGGTGGGACCTCTGGGAAAGCTTCTTTTGTCTAACCTCTCCCTCTTAT